GTTCAGTTTTTTGCACAGACCGATCGTTTCGGGTCTTTTCACATCAATGTATCATCAAGAGCCGCAGGGTTTCATTTGGTTTTGTTTGTGTATGTTTTTTTTTTTTACTCTCAAAGCCGTGATTCCCATTCACCTCCATTATAGGACTGACAGACTGCAACGGTTTGAGTTAAAAATCTTTGTTTGTGTTCTACTGAAGAAACAAAGTCACCTACATCTTGGATGCCCTGGGGGTAAGCAGATAAACATCAAATTTTAATTTTTGGGTGAACTATTCCTTTAATAGTGAGAATTGGTCCCTTTACTAAAGTGTTTGCGCCATGGGTCTCGGAAATTTGTATGGGAGGTAGATATGTGGGGGCGTGTTAGAACAAGCCGTTTTAGGGGGGCGTGGCTGAGTCTTAAAGAATATCTCTTTGGTTTTGAGACTTAGGTCTTTGCAACTTCAGGGATCTTATCTATGCACAATCAGCTTGTAACACTCCAAAGAGAAAGGAAAACTTGAAATCGCATCATATGACCCCTTTAACAAAAATATTTGTTCACAATCACTCATTTTTTAAAGTTCTGATTCCTTCATGACACTGGCTACAGTATGTAGGCAGTGCGAGTCATTAAACATTTGGAATGGAACCACTGTCGACTGTTCAATTCTATACAAAATGTAAGAAACGTAGTGATTCACCTCATCTAATCGTCTCTCCGTTCCCAGCGCCAGCAGATTGTTGTACTCTCTTTCCAGAATTTGTCTAGCCTGTAGAAAAGAATTCATTAATTCAGCATTGGTACCTCCAAGTAACTGTAAAGTCCTTTTCACACTAAATGCGAAAATTTGGCACGAATGTTTGGCGCAATGACGCTTTTGAATCGAAACAATACATTCTTATAGGGCGATCATTCGCAGCACGAAAAAGCAAGGATTTTTTTTTCATCCTGTGTGGCGATATTTTCCCGTCACTCCACGACGAAATGGGCCGCTCAATTAGATTTGAGCCAAGATCACGTGCCCGGAGCAGCTGCTGTTACACAAAAGGGTGAGAGTGGTGGCGCTGTTTCGAAAACCACTGTAAACAAACACCGAAGAAGAGTATTCTGAGAGAGAAGAGGATGCCGAGTTGTTGTTATCATTAGTATCTGAGAACAGATTTATTCTCGCATTCTCACCACTTTATAAAGAATATCATTTCTGTATAAAGTCATTGTTATGAGTCAGAGTGCATTCGCTCAAGATCTGCCAATCATGGGATAATATCTCCTGCCATTACATGTATAGAAACATTTTTCTCTTTTTTTTTTCATATGTAATATGGAAGTAAATAGACATAAGATTATGATGATATATTTTCTGTATGTGTTTTATGCAGCTCATTATATTTTTTATAACTGTAAAGGATGTTTATGACAAATGATAAGCTGGTGTCGCGTTCAATCCATTATAAAACATACAAATAGTGCATGTGTACAAATAGTACAAATAGTCCAATGGATGTTTTTGCCTATTATAAAATAAAAATCCACTTTAGAACTCAATTGGAAGTTATTACAACCACTCGATGATGGGTTAAAGTGGGTTTTAAGCAAAAAACAATCACATACATTTTCAAATGTAGCTTGATGCTAATTGTACCTCTATTTATATTTTAAGATGTATTCTTGTAGGAATTATAGATTGTTTGTGTTTCTGGTGCAGAACCAAACTTTATCTTAATTTAATGATGTATATATTGAGCAGCAGAGCATATACGAGATACATATCTGAGGAAAAATGCATTGCTGGTCGGCGCCACCTAGCATGCAGGCGTGAATTAGCAGAAGGCGATCAATCGTTTCGCGCTCGGTGTGAAAGCACCATTCGTTGGCGATTCGCCTCACTTTTTCGCATCGCGCTCAGTGTGAAACGACCTTAACTGTAAAGAGTGTGTGTGTGTGTCTATGGATGGGTACCTGAGTGTTTTGGTTGGGGATCTGCAGCAGCAGGGCCAGGCTGCTGTAGTCAAAGTTGTCATCGAGTGCTATGAGCGCCCCGTGCACGCCGCTCTCTAACAGGATGTTGGCGTAGTCACGGAGGCCGATGCTCTGGATCCAGCGAATCACGCGCTCGTTAGTCCACACCAGCACGTCTGCGTAAAAATACACGCAAAAGTCATAACGTGTGTTTACGTTGGTTGGATTGTCACAGCCCTAGGAGTGTTTCCAAGCAGTTTCTGCCTACCTCTTATCTCGTGCTGGCTGCTCTCTCTGCGTCTCTCCAGCTCCTTCCTGTCGTAGTTGAGCTTCTTCAGGCACATGATGCCGTACTGCAGACTGGTTCTGTTGCAAATTTGAATAAGTGTCAATTAATACATTCAAATTATACATTCATATTACAATCAAGGCAAGTTAGGTCAAGTTAGCGCTAATTTAATTAATCAAATCAAAATAATTTATAGCAATACTTGGAGACCACTGGACTACTGACCTGTGAAAGCTGTCCACCATTTTTAAATGCACTCGGAGGTCCTTCTTGGTGAGGTGGTCCAGCATGCGTGCGTCCACCAAACACTCCATGAAGTAGCTGCGGTACTGAGGTAGACCTAGACTGGGCAGCCACTCGTTCCCGATCCACTCGTGGTTCATGTCCCCGTATGCCAGTGTCTAAATGATACGTGCAAAAACAGTAATACTGTGAAACATTACTGCTGTTTAAAATAGCTGTTTGCTATTTTAATATATTAAATATATTTTTAAACCAAATTCTTTTCTGGGATGGCAAAGCTGAATTTTCAGGAGCCATTACTCCTGAAACCCACACCACTCACTTCAATGTCACACCATCCTTCAAATATCATGCTAATTTTGTGCTCATTTATTATTAATGTGGCATAATCCATCCATCCATTGATACGGTTAGTAAGTCATTCTGTCACTCTAGTGTTAGTTCACCCAAAAGGGAAAGTTCACCCAAAAATGAAAATTCTGTCATTAATTACTCACCCTCATCTCGTTTCAAAGCCGTAAGACCTTCGTTCTTCTTCAGAACACAAATTAAGATATTTTTGATGTAATCCGAGAGCTTTCTGACCCTGCAGAGACAGCAATGCAACTGACACGTTCAAGGCTTAGAAACCTAGTAAGGACATCCATGTGACATCAGAGGTTCAACATTCATTTTTTGAAATTAGGAGAATAATTTTTTGTGCGCAAAGAAAACAAAAAGAATGACTTTACTGAATTTTGTTTTCTTTGCACACAAAATATTATTCTCATAGCTTCATAAAATTAATGTTGAACCACTGATGTCACATGGACTATTTTTAACGATGTCCTTACCACCTTTCTGGACCTTAAATGTGGTAGTTTTCATTGCTGTCTATGCAGGGTCAGAAAACACTTGGATTTCAGCAAAAAAGTCTTAATTTGTGTTCTGAAGATGAACAAAGGTCTTACGGGTTTGGAATTAATGAGGTGAGTAATTAATGACAGAATTTTCATTTTTGGGTGAAGTGTATGTTATAGCTATGCTTTTTAAAAATCCATTGCAAATGCGTTTGTTAATGTGTGTTTTCTGTTAGAAATGAGTCATGTAGCACTGTGTGGATTTTACACTCTCACCTGTGACCAGCTCCCCTCCTCTGATGCCGATTTCTGCAGAAGCACAAGAAAGTGTGTATCTGTGTCTTGAAAATGTTGCGCTATATGTACATCTGTTAACTTTTCAAACCACGTACGTTACACATGATCACGTGATTGTACATGCATCCGTATAAATGTTATTAAACGTGTAACGCAGCTCACACAGTGGATGAAAAAATCTAAGAAACTAGTGCTTGACTTCCTCTAATCATCTGCATGCAAACACAATACATTACACACAAACTACATCACATACACGACATGCGGTCATCTTCAGTGTACATGTGACACACTGAGCATTTCCGTTCCACGCTCGTGTTCCTAGTGATCGTGAAGCTGATGAGGGTGAACGGTGATGATTGTATGAGGCTGTGATGAGGCTCAATGGAGAATAACGAGGCTACTTTTATTCTCTTTTGACTGATTGCATTTGATTTGAATGTGAGAATGTTAAATCCGTTCGGCCTTGCTTTTTTCAGAGCTGTTGGGAACCAATGGATGTAACAGAAGCACATATGAGTTGATTATTGAAGCTCAAATATATTCAGACATGAATTGATGAAATCTTCCTCTGCCTAGTTAGGGACTAGAGCTCACAGTCGACATGAAACCGCATTCATGACTCATTTTACTTCTGTAAATTCATATTTGAGGAGGCTTTTGGACAGTCAATAACATATATTCCAACTTTCATTTTGATGTTATTTGCCATTATTGCTGTATCCACCGGCTGAAAATGGAAAATCGTTTCAGAACAGATGCCCCTTGAATTGTGCACAGTAACATCAGGATCGTGTCCTAATAAAGTAAATGAGGGGTGATTTTGATTTCATGTCGACTTTCCTGCTCTATCCTGATTATGGGAAAGCAAAAAGGGTCAGTAAACAAAGGATTATGTGAAAAGAAACCAACCCTAGTTTGGTTAGAGTTAAAAAGAATGAAGTGACTGACCGTTTTGGAGGGGGCGGCAAGGGTCTCCATTTCCTCGTGGGTTACCCACACATTACCCGACGGCTATGTGGGCGGCCCCAGAGATGAATCCGACAGGAAGGGCAAGCAGTGTTAAAGAAGAAGAGCAGCAGCACTGTAAGCCAATAGTGTTACAGCATCACAGTCAGATCATTAGCAAGGCCCGCCCACGGAGTCAAAGGCCTGAGACAAACACGCATACAGAGAGCACAAGCACACTGAATGCACATCAGGGGAGATGAAGGTTGCGTCCCAAATGACTCACTTATACACCATGTACTTATGCACTATGTACTCAACCGTGTAGTGTATGAAATTTGTAAGGTTATTTTGTCATTTAACTTTAGCGTCTGATAGCCCCTCCCCTCTGCTACAAAATTAAAGCTGAAACAGTTGACTGTGTAATGTTGGAAACTTTACACAGTCAACTGTTTCAGCTTTAATTTTGAACACTACTTTCTTTTTTTTTTTTTTGGTTAATTAAGTTAACACGTGGGTATTTAAATTGCACATTCTCTTTTTGGAATTTTCAGTGTGAATGCAATACTCGCACTATTTGCACTACAAAACAGCACAGAATAGTGCACAAGTACATAAATTGGGACGCACCTAAAATGTTGTTCTGACTGACGGAACAGGAACTGCTGCTGAAGACGAGAGAACTGCTTTGAAAGTGCAAAATGAGCTGTGTACACACTGTGCAATTTTTTTTTGTCGCTGCCTTTTTGTGTAAAAAAAAAAGAGCTAAAATGTTTGCAATGTTTTTATCTTAGAACAAAATAAATCTTTTACAATACAATTATGAAATCGGTCTCAGATGGCCAGGTGTGGACAAAATTGTCCAGTGTGCACCACACTTTGTGTAGTTAGTAGTTTATCAGGAGCTGCTTTGAGAAGGAGTGCATAAAAATAACTTTCAGAAAGAAAAACATCAAATACACAAGCTGCAGTTTGACCACTGGGATGTGCTGTGAATGCGTCATTACACGATACCATGCCAGATCAGCTGTCGAGTTTCCATTTTCTCCGATTGATGCAAAACACTATTACCATGACAACGGAACAAAATAAAGCTGTGGATGGGTTGAAAATAGCTGATGATGACGATTGGTTTAGTGGCTATGGTGACTAACATTGATAGTTAACCGATACGCGTCCCAGTATTTGCCAAACAATGCAAGACTCCTAATGATGAAACCAATGGGCGGTTTTGTTTTTGTAAATTATAAATGTATGTTAATGTATGTTACTGAAAACCAAGTGTGTTTTGTGTGTGTGTGTGTGTGTGCACTCACGGTTCTAGACGTAGGGGGAGCCGAAGGGCTGGTGAGCGAGACCATCTCCTGGATGGCCAAGCGCAGTTTGAGGCGGTGCAGAGGATTGCTGATGCCGATCTCTCTCTGGATCTCGGTGTCCGACAGGGCTGACATGATAGCGCCGCTTTTTACGTTGGCACGACAAGCTGCGACGTACCATGCTGGCATCCCTAGCCACAGCTTTGAACACACACATTGTAGCATGATTAAACATGTATATAAAAAATGTAAGTACAACTCTAGAACATCTACTATTATGCAGTATCTTCCAAGCTTCACCACTAGATGGAGCCATTGCTTTGCATCTAATGATAAACGTGAACAGATCCGTTCTGACCGCAAGCAAACAAACCTGAATACTGGCAAAATCTCCACAATCTTCACATTCACTGATGTACATTCAATTTTTAAAACCAGAAGCAGAAAATATTCATACAATTTCAATAAACCGCTAATTAAAAAGAAAACTACTGTATGTTAACACTGTATCTTGGCAAACTCGTATCAGTTACTGTCTCGAAAAACATTGCAGCCATGTTACTACAACTAAACACTTCAATTGCATCATTCTAGGAGACACTGATCTCAGTGTGCAATATGTAACTGTTGTGCTGTTGAGTCGATACAGCTCAGGTCTTTATTTAGCTGCCATTAAAGATCCCCGGAGCTAGCTTAACCGCACAATAAAGTATCTGTGCTATTATATGGAACAAACACAGAAATAATTCCCAGGATCCCACCCTAGGCCGCCTTTAATCACACATTTCCTCAGCGTCATTATGGTGCATGATCTCCCATATTATACTAATACAAGGACGTAATAACAACTATAACTGGGGACTGTGAGGCTTCTAGAAATTTGTAATATATAATGGTATATTTAAGGCTGGAATACACTACAGCATCTGAACTGATTTTAAAACACTAGACATTATTACTTGCTGACTTTGTAAATGGTTACAGAGAAAACTGGCCATTATACACAAAATGACTCATCTCAAAATGATCTCACATACTACCAGACTTTCCATCTCGCACCACAACTCCCCCAAACTGTAAATTGGGGCAAAAGCCACATAGTGTATTTCAGCCTTTAGTAACCGAATACACAAGAGCTAGCTGTCAAATCTACCTAGAAGGCATCAAATTACCAGAGCTGGGTAGTAACTGATTACTATTCAGTTAAATACTATTCAGTTGATACTAAACAGTAAAAGTACTGTTTTTACATGTTACTACATGTAATCTGGATTACGTAGTAAGATTCCAAAAATTAAGTACTTGTAATTACATTACATTTTAAGTACATGTTACTTTTTATTGACACGATTACATATTATTCACACAAGAGTAATAAATTATTCATAATTTAGTGATTCTCCCTAATTACTAATTTCTTTCTAAAATAGCCTACTGCTTATATACATTCAGAAAGTCGTCCAGTTTGGTGGATATTCACAAAAAGACCAGTCATTAGTCAGTATAAGATGTGTTTCAACACTGCATCAGCTACTGTCAAATACATTCATTTACATTATCATTCAGTGGGTTATTTAACCATGTATACTATATCTTGGGAAAGCTTTTGTAAACACTGCATATTATTCAATATTTTAATTTGAATGTCAGATTGAAATGAACGCTGTTATTAGAGTAGTTAATCGTTAGCATTTAAGCGCAGCTAACGCTAATATAATGAGCATTAGAATGAATTCAGTTTTTCTTTTTTGATAAATCTGCAAAAATGTCAACAATTCTGTGTTTTTCTGTCAATATGGGGTGCTGTGTGTACATTAATGAGGAAAAAAAATTAACTTAAAAGATTTTAGCAAATGGCTGCAATATAACAAAGAGTGAAAAATTTAAGGGGGTCTGAATACTTTCCGTACCCACTGTATATATGTGTGTGTGTGTGTGTAATGCAAGGATTCCCGAACTATTTTGCCCTCTGAACCTCTTTCACCTAATATATTTACTTGAAGTACCCCTGAGATTTTAAAATAAATATTATTATTATTTTGATTGTTATTTTAAAATGATTTGATTAACGAGTTAGGTCAAAAGTAATCAATGTGTAATGTAATGGATTACATCACTAACTAAAACTTTTGTCATGTAATTTGGAATCAGTAACGGATTACAATAAGTAATCTACCCAGCACTTCTAACCAATACCTGCCTTTTAGAAAATGGATGTAATTGGGCGTCATTACTCGCATAGTATTCATTAGCCAAGTTGAAATGTTCTGAGTGTCTTACCCACTTTTCACATATATCTTGCATATATAAGATTTATATATTAAAAAAAAACATTTTCATTGCAAAAAAATGAGTACTGCCCACCTCCAACCACGCGACAACTGTAGGACCGTCCCACTGAGCAAAAGGTAACCCTTTTCTTCTGGCTTCTTCCAACAGCTCGTGTCTAGAAAGAGCAGGTGACAGAGACAGAGAGGAAGACAGATTAGGAGAAAGACAGAACCAGCTTTGAGATAATCAACTGAACAGAGAGAGAGGGAAAGGGGCATGTAGAGAGAGAAAGTGAGATGCTTTATCTGTCTCTGCCAGGTTTCCTGTCCTTTATTTAATGGCCACTATCTGTTTATCAGAGCAACATGGAACACTAAATGCACAAGTTTCTTCTTAAAAGTTTCTTTCGTACCCACTACTATTCTGTAATTAGCATGTAGCGTGACGAATGCTACATTTTCATGTAATCTCTGTACATAAGTAACACAAGCCAATATAATGCTCTGTTTGAGTTCACATCACTCCATAATTTAATTTAAGGTCTGCCTCGTCTCTTAAACGCAGTCTGGCTTTCTGGTAAAGAATCAAAGACGAGGTTTTCAGTGGGATGAAATGAAGGAAAGAAACTAATGGTGTCGGTCACGCTGAGACGCCAGCGAACTGAAAGTTCCAGTTTTTCAGATAAACATATCGTGACATTTCTTTGCTGAATCCTGATCCTCGTCTATAAAGCCGAGAGCTTTAGAAAATTGGAATACTGTGACTTATCGAGGGAAAACAGAAATGCCTTTTCTTTTGAACCCTAGTCCGTGTTTGTCTTGATAAATATTTGCGCTTTAAGACAAGGCTGCTATCATAAACTCTCATCAGACATTCACGCAGATGCTTTCTACGCAGATCTCCGCTGGGAAATATGTCTAGCTTTCCTCAAGGTTGCCTCTTGTCGTTTACCAACTTAACAGGGACTGAAGGGCTTGTAACATAAGAGTGTGTCTTTAGAAATGTTTCAATATATCTCTCCTGCTAACGTCTGAATGTCAGAGAGCATTTGTCTCCAAGGTTCTGACAAATTCAAGCCAGTGTAATTCAGAGATATTTTGAGGTAAGGCTTTACCGTTGAACTGTGATGTAATTCTGAGGGCACCTTGCTATAGAACAAGCACAGGTGAGTATTTTATGGTGTGTGGAAATTGCGGTGGACTTTAAGGCAGAGACAGTTGGGTGTTCCTCCCTCAGAGAGCAGCTTCGTAATCCAACCACATGTTTGGGGTGTACGGTAAGGCCACTTGAAGAGTCGAGTACAGTACTGACACGTGCTGTAGTGAATTATATGGTTCTGCCTGCACAAATCAAATCTCAAAACCGCTTACGTGACCACTGATATCTCTTTTGCACCAAAGTGGTGCCGGTGATGGTGCCAGATCCGGTTCTATGCGGAAGGTGGATTGTTTTTATTCGAGAGTCGACGGAAATTACTTTTTTTACTATGTAACCTGTAAGCCGTAAATTCGAATAAGCCATCTTATTCCTAGTTTTGGAAACATATGTTAGCATTCCATTTAAATTTTTTTTTTTTGCATGTAGCTTAGTTGAACAACTGAAGCTGGTGGTTACGATAAACCCGTGGAGCTGTTCGTCATCCATTTTGTCAATGCTGGTATGAGATAAATCCTGGAACATAAAGGTGCATGAAAGGCACTTTTACTAACATGTTTCGATCCTTTTTGAAATATTGCCATGCCAAAGCAAAATGCGACATTGTAAAAATGTATTTTCGAAAAAAAAACAAAAAAACATTTAAAGTAAACAAGCACTTTTTCCATGATGTTCTATTTTAGTATCTGAAAGAAAATGTGGTTTATCAGGGCGACTCTTGCCTGAATAAGCTGTTAATAAAAGCTAATAAAATGGACCACACTTTATGCTGACAGTTAAAGTCAGATGTAACGACGGATCTTTTTTTTCCACATTGTCACATGCATCCAAGTGAAACTGAGAGTTGTTTCAGTCCACTGGATCTGAATGAGAACTTGCAGTCAATTGTAAGAAAGGGATTTTTTTTTTTTTTTACATAGGTAAATGGCATAATTTAACATATGCACAGATGAATCAGTCACAATATGAACAGTAACATGCATTTAGAAAATAAATTGGGTTAACTATTATTTCATGCCGACTTTAAAGACTGTCTACGCGAGACTAGTTGTTCCCGGTTTAAACCGGCAGGCCAATTTTCCAGAACCACCTTTTCTTTGATGGAAAAACCGGATTGAGCACCGCCACCATTTCAATGGGGAACTGTTCTGTCGCCGTGAACATTCATGTCTGTGTGCTGTAAAGGCAATAAGGCCTTCGTGGTGATGGTGTTTATGATGCATCTCTCCTCATCTTTACGTGTTGAACTGCATATGTTCAGGTCGAATGTAATGCGTATGAGTGACTTCTTCTGAACATACTGTAGCTGGGGAGGGAGAGAAACAGTTATGAGAGAAAACAAAATGAAAAGAAAAAGAGAGCAGGGAAGAAGTCAATGAGTTCACAGTCCATAACCAGAGACGAGACCTGGTTATTGAATACGGCACATGATGCACACACGCACGCACGGACACGCGCACGCACACGTACACGAGAGGAGAAAGGCCTCGGCATGGCAGATCGAGAACAGGTTGTTATAAAGGCACACATTCTCTCTCCAGGCAGAGATGCATCCTCTATAGAACTGCAGAGGGGGAGAATCACATTTACAGTCAAATGAAAAAGAAAGGCAGAGGTGGGGGTCTCTGGATGGACAGAAAGGAAATGCGTCGGACCCCCCTGAAGATAGACACACACTTTAGGAGCATGACGACAGACACGGACAGAGCATCGACAGTGGAAAATGCAGCAAGTCTCGGCAACACAAACTAAACTTACCCGCTGATACAGAGTCAGATGAGGAGAAAAAGAGATAGAGAGAGAAAAGAAAAATAGAGAAAGCGATGGGAGACAAAATTAAATGCTTGTTATTGAGCATACTGTATGTAGACTTTAGAAAAAACACCTCGGCTCAGAGACGTGCATTACTGTTGGGAATCGTTGTATTTTTGCACTTAGATATTAACTTGTTGGTCACAATTGAACAGATCTACTTTTCTTTAAAAGTTATTTTTTATCATACAGCATGCAGAAAGTGTGACAGTGCAATGGAAACAGTGAAGAGCCGCCTTTGTGTGGCGCTGCAATGGATGAGACCAACACGAATCAAATTACATAAAACGGTCACATTCAAACATTAGCGTTAAGGCAAAGAAATGTGATATTCGGCAAGCATCGCATGACATGCTGTAAACACAACCAAGTATGCAACGAAGTCACAAGCCTGCTATGAAAGGCACATTCTCATGTTTCTCAACACATTTGGTTATACATTCTACAAATGGCAATCGTACGTTGATTGTATTTTAAGTAGTACACCGTGTGGCATATAGATAACAGGCTCTATTATTATCGCAAACAGGTATGTAAATGGGTCTTGTATAGTTAAACAAATAAAGAGTATAAACTGTATTGACACTGAAAATGCTTTCTTTTTCAGATTAGCTAACATAAGGCCCGAAACATAATCTACACAAACACGTAAATGTGAATGCCAATTAGCTGCGCAAGCTTTAACCAGGTTTCCATCCAAGGATCTATTTTTGCGGAAAAAATATTTAGCATGTTGAAATGTTTATAGGGTCATTCCGTGTCAAATCAACCAAATTTCAAAAAATTCCCCGGCTCAAATTTTTTATTTTGCTAATATTTTTTCTGAAGAAAGACAGACATGTATAGTGAAGAAAGCCAAAATATTAAATGTCAATTGTGACCAACATTTGGTTTTCAACCACTAAAAATAGGTAATATTCAACAATCGGAAAATGGAACCTCTTTGAGATCCTCATATCTCTGGGACTGAACAATGTACGGCTTTGAAAATGAAGATTCCAAAATAAAAGTTTATTAAAAAATAGAATCTAAAATCATATTGCGATATCTTTAATACTTCTTGAGTTATAGGCACGCAAACTTTGGAAAAAGAATATTTATGGCACTCAGACAGGTATGTTCAATGCAGTTATTTTGACAGAAGTACACGAGATACATCTCTAGTTTCAACATTATTTGTACTTCAGACTTTCCTCTTTAAAAGAAAAGAAGTATCATATTTTTGCAAAATGACCCACATTTGGTTTTTGACCACTGAAAATGTGTACATTCTAAAAATTTACTCCTGGAGCCATATTGAAATTCCAATATCTCTGGAACCGGACAATATAGGGCCTTAAAAATGAAGATACCAAAAGGAAAGTTTGTTAAGACCCAATATCTAAAAGGGCATTAAGATACCTTTAATACTTCTTGAGATACAGGGCATGCAAACTTTGGAGAAAAAACTTGAAAAGTGCTGTTTCCCCATTTTTGAATGGTCGCTATTGGCACATAATGCAACAAAGATTGCTAAAGTCAACAGAATTTACTAGTAGACCTACCAATCTCTTTGTAAAAATAACATTATGATGCTGCCATCTTTCTGAAGTCATTTTTAACCCCCTGTAATTTGCCTCTGAATCTCAGGTGAAAATGGCCATTTTGACCCCCCTCTACAAAATAGTGGATTTCTCAGTAAATATTCATCCATGACATTTAATATTTTGGCTTTCATCACTATACATGTCTGTCTTTCTTCAGAAAAAATATTAGCAAAATCAAACATTTGAGCCGGGGACCTCTGGTTGAGTTGACACGGAATGACCCTATAGATATTGATGATGGAAATGCTAATAATGCTATGGATTGCCACAAACTTCAAATATAGCAAAAAATTGTTTGGAAATACTTTTGTTGTTGGTTGGTTGTTTTTTCAGGTCATCAACTGTCATGGCCAAACAATCTTCACAAGTTCATTAAAGCTAGCTTCTTAAAATAACTTAAAATAAATCTATTGTATAACTATCTATCTTGAGTACTGAGGCTTGGTATTTAAAAAGTGACGCAAAAACTCACTCTAAATCTGTACAACAGGACTACGCAAAGCTCTTTCTTACTTGCGTAGAGTATGTTTTTTGGTCTAAGGCACTACAATGCATCCAGATGGGCCATATGTTCAAATATTATTTTCTAAAGAGAGGTGTGTGAAACATAACATCACAGTATTCGTGTTGTTTGTTATGTTATGTTATGTCAGTAATATTTAGTTTTTTCAAGATTTGGGCCCAGGAATGAATTACCTTCATAAAAGGTTGTGTTGGGTGTATAATTTGAATTTGTCAGAGAGCGGTTTATAAAATACTTACTTCTTTTTAAGCCTGCGATCTTTCTCCGCCTGTGTTCCCAGCTTTCCCACCGTAATATCCTGACCTAGAAGCTCAGGATCGGATACATTCCCTACTGATGGAGAAGATCCATTAACCAATCATTTGATAAAGTTAGTAATTATATTTACATTCGACTCCAGGTCAGTGTTTTAATCAGATTAAATCAATATTGAAAAGGACTGCGTTTTCTGATATACATGTATACAAAACCGAACTCTTAATAGCTCATATGTCTCTATGTCTCACCTTGTCCTGGTCCCATAATCTCTTTCCCCAGCTGCCCCAGTCTGGCCTTCTCTTTCTTCCCAAACAGACGTCCGATGGAGGATTTGATGCCCTTCTTCTTTGGCTGTTTATGGAGGGAGTCTTGACTGCTAGCTACACTGCTCAGAGCACTGGCCTCCATCTCTAATGCAGCCGTCAGGCTGGAGACAGACAAACAGATTAACATTGGGAAAGTTGGGTCATGTTTGCATGCAGGATATGTCTGGCTGCTGTCTTTTTGCCGTCTCACCGTGCGTCATTGTGCGAAGAAGCAGGCAGCGTGTGGGTCATGCGGACTTGGCGAGGTGTGGGAGGTGGCGAGGTCTCGCATTTGATGGTGGCCTTGTCCTCTCGACCGTCCTCGTCCACCGCTGCGATCTGTGACAGAGGGAATCTGAATTAAAGGGACAGTTCACCCAAAAATGAAAATACTCTCATTTAATTACCCTCATGTCGATCCAAAAATGTAACACCTTTTTTCTGTCAAACATAAAAGAAGATATTTTGAGATATGTCTCACTGTGTTTTTTTGCACATACAGTGGACGTCAATGGACTTCAGTATTTTTTGTTTCCTAGCGTTCTTCTAAATATCTTGAGAGTGAATTTTGGGGTGGAAAACAGGATATTTCTTAATAATACATGAATTTTCTTATTCTGAATTACCAATAAAGATATTTTTCATATAACAAATGGGGTATTCCAGAAACCTCAGCTAATAAAAACTGATGTTAATAAAGATTAGTATAGATCAGGGGTGGCGTGGAGCTGAACTCTGCAGGGCTGCGGCTCTCCAGGACCGGAGTTCGCCACCCCTGGTATAGATCAATAATAATCAAAAGTAACAAATGTCACCCATATACTAATTTTTTTAAAATTATTAAAAATGTGTTATTATATGTAAAATCATTTACCAATACTTATTTATCTTAAAAACAAATAATCCTCAGCATTGTTGTTTTTTAACCCGTACAAATATCTAAACATGTTTAAAACAATATAAATGTGCTTAAGGAGCAAAATGGTAATACTAAGACTTGTTTTCAGAAAATTAAGTAAATTTGCCAGTGGGACAAGAAAAATCGTCTTTTTTTAAGCATAAACCTCATTGAATTTTGTTATATTTTATTCATTTCATTCACCCTTTTGGACTGTAGCCAATTCAATTCAGTTCCAACTCATGAACTGATTTTTCCCCAACCCTGGTGTCCTCTATGCTGCCCATAAAAAAAGAATCATGCCAAATACAGCCAGCTCTTTTGTGAAGAGACCACATGTTAAGTACCTTTCTCCTGTGTTTCCGCAAGTCACTGGGCTGCAGAACAAAAAACAAAATATGTTAACAGCTTAATGGATACTGGATAGTCATGAGGCATTCAAAGCAACGCAACGTGATGCAGAAACTGCAGAGAAATTACCAGGAAAGCTGTAATACAGCAATTGATTGAGAGACATCATACTGTGTCATTTGTGACTTAACCAGCACTACAATTTGCATGAAAAATGGCTTTTGTAAAGCCCCAAAATGTTAAAGTTACGTGCCATGAATTAAACAAATATTCTTAAAGGGTCATTTACATACTGTTTACAAAAAAAAAAAAAAATCATATTTCATTTCCAATGACCATTTTCCTCCATCTATAGTCAGCACTGTTAATATATAAAAAGGTCAAAGAAAATCTTGGTATGAAAATATGGACAGAGATGCGGATGGGCTCGTATACCAGTGTCATGACCCCCATGCGCTCAATGTCGCGGGCAGGGCTGCGCGTGAGTTTGGGGGTGGAGTGTCCGCTGGGAGGGGAGGAGGAGGCGAGGGAGGATGCGGTGGCCGAGGCAGTGATGGAGGCTCCGGGATGGTGCATCCGCGCCAGGTTCAGCCCCTCCAAGCTCACGCTGGCCACGCGGTTCTCGATTTCCTCTGCCCTCAGTTCTGTTGACTCCTTCTCTTCCTGGATCAGCCTGGAGAAAATGGGCAAAAGAGTCAGAAATTACAGTGTATGATAATGAGCTAATAGCATTATGATTTACAACATTACTGGAGTGCTGAGCTTGCTGGGTGAAAATGTGAATAATTTTGGCAACAGGACTAAAAACAATGCAGCTGAAACAACTAATTAGCCCTTACTACAATGGATGGTACAAAATGAAAAGCACAACACTAAAATGAACATAAAAAGCAGACACACTGTTGTTCATCAGAAATTCTGGATGCTGTCTTGACGCAAATATTTTTTTTTACTAAATGCACAATTACAATGTTACAATGTTTAGACTAGTTTGCAGATTCAGAGATTGTTTTTGAAGATCTGATACCACAGTTTCTGTAAATCTGTCTCTTTTTCTGCGCCTAAGCGCAGGTGTCAGGTTTGTGAATCGATATTGTTAAACTGTTTTTTTTTCAGCTGTAATATGCTGCGCTGTGGGTTTTAAGATGCCAGTTTCCACCAGGTGCATGTATCCAAAGAGAAAAAAATGGCATGGTCCTGATAACTCGATTATTGAGTTATGAGAGAAAAATTTCCAATAGGAAATGCATTAAGTCTGTGGAGACTGATGTTCTCGGGGCTCAGAGAATCTACATACTGCCTTTGTGACATGGGGTTATGGCTTCAGGCACGGTTTTGGACAGCCTTGCTTTAAAGCTACTATATAAAAAAAAAAAGTAGAAAATTGGCTTTAGTTTAATTTAAATCTAAGTTTAATTTAAACCTTTCTTTAAATTGTAATACCTGACATCTAACAAAGGTCATTTCTAAAAAAGACATTTCAAACAAAACCCAAACATTTTTTGTATATATATTTGTGTAGATCTATATATCAATGTATCAAAATAAATCATAAAAGCAGCTTATTGATGCTATGGTATCTTCTCAAGTACCAGTACTTTCTGTGTGCTTGTATCTATTTAGCAACAGAAAAAAACACACTAACTTGTGATAAATCAAAGCAAAAACCAAACAAAACTGTTGAATGCTCCAATTGTTCAAATAAACAGAGCAAAGTCACAGCATTCACACTCTTCAGGGAAACCAACCTACAAACTGTTTATTTAATTTTGTCTCTGCAATTCACCTTCAACATAGAAAAATGACAAAAGAAATGCAATAATAAGCTCAGAGAAACAGAGAAATAATGAAATCTTGTGCTTTACTGGCCGAAGACTGATGCAGTTGGTTCAGAGAATGCTTGAGGACACGACCGACAATCCTCAAGAATCGCAAACTGTAGTTTACTGCTGAAACATTCGATAGCTCTTGTAGTGGATGTTTTTCATGGCCTTGGATTATTGAATATCTTGTAAAGCCACCATCGAACAGGCTGCAAACAATTAAACATTGACCATTTGTCCAGCATTTAACATGTTTACAGTTTGTTGTAAGACATTCAACAGCCCAAAAGTCTTCCAGCCCAAAAGCACAAAGACCAAAGCTGGTGCTTTATCAAAAGCGGACCACGGCTGGTGGGGAGAGAAATAAACCGCACACAGGGGAACCATCTTTCTTCCTGTTGTAATCAAAAAACCCAGCAGACATTAGAGGCACAGTTAAATAGCATAGTGAGCGGTATTTGTACACAGGTAATCAAATAAAGTTAAGCACACATACTGTTTGTTGCATATGAGGTTGCACATTTTTGATGAAAATGATTTTGATGAAATTTACATAAAGGGAGCTCCTGACCAAAAATAAATGTGGGAAATAACAGGACAGAGAACTATCTAAAAAATTCAAACTTGTCTGCAGTGAGTGGCTCTTAGTGAATTTAAAATGACCTTTGAAACAACTCCAACTAAAATCCAACTAAAGTTCCATAAAAAAAAAGAACTCCGTCTGTTCTGGCCTCTTCAAATATTAATCACACATTTCCACTGAATTGGACAAATTTCAAATTAGATCTCAATAAAATCCAAAGGGTCGGGATGGTTTATTATTTAGTATTTGATTTGAAGTCATACATTTGCTTTTGACAGCCTTAAGGCTGGAATGCACTACACAACTTTTGCCCTGATTTACAGTCTGGAGAAGTTTACAAATTTTATGACTGTTTACAAAGTCGGTAAATGTATGATGTCTCGCATTCAGATTTTAAAACTTGCGTAGTGTATTCCTGCCTTTAGCTGTAAGTGCAAGGGCTGCTGGTTCAAATCCAGTTTGGCCTTAAGATGACCAATTTGTAAAAGGACATCGACATGCAGGACACATGTCCAGCCAGACAGGTGATAGTGTTGTGATATTAAGGAGATATATACAGTATACATATGCCAATCCCAGAAATTATGGAAATCAGGAACAGCAGAAATGTCCACATGGAGTGAAAGGTTTCCATTTCCAGGAAACCTTTCAGTCAACCGCTCTTGTTCAATAATACTGGAGTCACGCCTCATGTTCTCAAATGTCAAATCAGCCTATGCACTGCGTGAACAGCCTACAGGAGAAACCTTGAGCTCTGGCTGATATTTAAATCAGCATATACACCACATGGAGGCACAACTCATCTTTCTGCAGTGCCTTTTATTGTTTTTACTTCTTTCTAGGACTTGTGTGTGCCAAAACCCTGATCCTGAGTCTCTGTAGAGATGTAGAAATTCTAATAAATGTGCCACTTAAATCATCAAAATATGAGTGAAGGGATTAGCTAGGGAGTAGAAGGTTATATGTAGGTTATGAAGGGAAACTTGATAAATCTACGCTACTAAGATGCAAAGGTGACAAGTTCAATTCCTCGTACTGTACGTTTTAAACAAAGCTACAAGGATAATAGTCAAGGAACTTGTACCTGTCCCAGGAATCAGTGTACTACATGTCAATCTGGATAAAAATATTGCAAATAAACATTTGGCAAAGATCAGATTGAGTGAGTGTGACAAGACAGAAACAACCGAACTGTAAGTGGCAGTTAAAATGGAGAAAAAACAGTCATAATTGTACATTGTTACAAAAAGTCTATTTCAAATAAATCATTTTTTTTTTCAACCAACAAAGGATCCTGATGTTTCACATTTTCTACAAAATATTAAACAGCACAACTTTTTACAATTTTGATAATAATGAGCTTGATCAGGAAATTAGCATATTAGAATGATTTCTGAAGGATCATGTGCACTGAAGACTGAGGTAATGTTTCAGCTCAGCAGAAAACACTTCCTTTAAATTATAATAATATTTCACAGTAGTATTGTTTTTACTGTATTTTTGATCAAACGAATGAGTCAAAAAATTAAAAAAAAAAAAAAAAAAAAGACTTAAGACTGGAATACACTACAGGACTTTTAAAATCGGAAACATATTTTAAAACAATGTCCACACTTGCTGACTTTGTAAATGGTTACAGAAAAAAATTGGGCATCAAACACCACAAAACTAAGGATCACACACCACCTTTCAAGTTAAATGCAAAAACTTGTGTCTCGTTGCTAGGAGACACATGCCAAATGAAAACAATATTTGTTTTAAAATTGGCTCAAAATATCAAACATGTCTGATTGTCCTCCAAATGTACTGATTCATATTCTGAAGCTAAAAAATCACATGTGAAATCTGTCAAAACTGCACAAAATCTGCAGAATGGCTCCAACTTTTGGCAATGAGCGTCGACTCCACTAGACTGCAAATCTGTAGAAAAATCTGCAAAAGTTGTGCAGTGTAGTCCAGCCTTAACCTGACTAATAAGGATCACTGAGTTTTGCTTTATGACTGTGGATTTTTTTAAACACATTTAAATGATGTTAAAAAGAAAAGCTGTAAGAGTTATTCTTAATCTAATGCTAAATGAACAACAAGAGGAAAAACAAACATAGATGCTCATTAAATAATAAAAAATCACGCCATATCAGATTTCCCTTAAGTCAGGTTTCAGGCCCCATTACTACACTTATCAGAGTAACAAATGTCTTACTTTTGTTATCCAACTAGGGTTTTATTTCTCTGCTAGGCCTGCATTTGATATATCATTAACTTTCTTTTGGACAATCTTGAAAATTGTGTTGCTGTTTTTGGACAGGTGCTAGCCTGGTTTAGATCCTACCTTTGTTGAACAGCTGTCAAATCTAATAATGCTAAAGAAAGTATGCACCAAGGGTCGATCTTAAGCCCACTGCTGTTTTATTATCACCTTTGAGGTGATATTTCTAAGAAATATAATGTCCTTTCATTGCTTTACAGATGGATTACATTATAGACATTAAAGCAATCTGAATGTAGCCCATCTCTGGGTAGACCATTAAGGCAACACGATTTAAGCCTAGTCTACAAAAAGGTGCAGTGGTCACAATCAGCAAACTGACCGGATCTCTTTATTGATGGCATCTAGTTGTTCTTGCAGCATCATTGCCAGAGTCTGAGCATCTGAATGTCCTCCAGGAGACAGTAAATCCATCGAACTGAAAAGGGTCTCTCTGTCGTCGTCATCGATATCCGACATCTCCGTGTCGCTGTCGAACGGGTGGCCGCCCAGAACGCCAAGTTGCTGAGAGCGCCATTCGTGCTCTCCCAGAGACTTAGCCTGCAAGAAGATGAAAGAGAAACACAAGGAGTGATGTTTAGCACAAAGCTCAAGAAACAATAGGTGATGAGACCCTACCTTCTGTTCGTCCCTACGTAGCCCCATGCGTCCTCTCCTGGGCCTGCGGATCACCTTGGTAGAGCGATAATGGTCAGATTGCGTCTCAGCAAGAGAACCCAGAGAGAAACGCAGATCTCCAGATGCATCCAGATGAGACCTGGAATCAAGACCACAATCTGTTATCTAGAATTAAGCTTTTAAAATCTAAAATTACATTTTGTTTACATTCTACCTGGTTAGTTTCACTATGAAATACATTGGAAACTATAAACTTCACTTGCAAAACTCATCAATACTAATGTTTTAATGGAACCGTAGTATAAAATCATACAGAAGAATCGAGGTATGTACGAGTCAAATAATTTGACAAACACCGCATAGAAATGGTAACATAGTTCCTTGTGAGTTATATTGCCGTATACATAGACCGCAGTCTTTTAAGGCATTTTAACAAGAATGGAACCATATCAGTGACAGATCTGGAACAATCCCATGAAGCATAATTGAAAATGATGATGAAATACAAAACTACTGATTTATTAAAACTACTGATACTGAACTACTGAGAGACAAAAATGCTAGATATATTGCAAAGTCTGATTTGATTGGTGGAATTTTTTTTTTAAGAATAATGGGTAACAGTTTTTCACCTATAATTCCACTAAACATGATAATTTAATAAGTTTAAATAATGTGGGCTGATGGCTTCAAAAAAAGCATAAACCACCAAATAACTTCAGAGCTCACAGTAGGTCTCAACAATTCTGTTGAGCTTGCTAGGTTTTGGAACAGAGCTATTGTTTATTGTAAAGGGATAGTTCTGAGTCCTTCATGCTTTCAGTCTCACCGTGACAGCGTGGGCTCAGTAAGGGATCCGGCCCTCAATCGGTACTGATCCAGTTCAGATCTCAGTTTCTCGATCTCCTCCGAGAGATGAGACTACAACCGCAAAGCACATTAAAGTTTAATTTTACTCAGAATGGATAGCAAAGCATTGCATAAAAATTTGTTCCACCCAGCTAGTTTTCAGAAAATAAAAACTAATAACCTTTTCCTGTATGGAGTCTTCTAACTGCTTCCTGTAGTTATCAGAGTCTTGTATTAACACATTCTGAAAGAGAAGCAAAGGAAACAGTGTAGGAAACAATAAAGGAAACATTATTGGAAGACATCTGTCATGATGGTTGGATCTTCTCTCACCTTATCCTCAAGAGCGGCCATTCTCTCTTTCAGGTGAAGCTGTAAACGTTCATTCGACTCTGTCAAGAGTCTGTCCACAGTGTCCGACAGACGCTTGTTGTGTTCCTCATTCATCTTCTCTCTCTGTCGAGCCTGAGGAAACAAAGTACAAATTAAAATTAAAGTACAAATTCACTCAAATTAAATGTTTTATCAAATACTAGCATACTAAATACAGCACACTAAAATATGACCTCACTGTACTGAATGTTTAACCCACAGAGACCCAAATTTTGATACTCATGCCATATTTATTTTTTTCACCCTTAAACATGTCTCTAGAAAGCCTTTAAATACAGGCAATATTTGCATTGGGGTAGGGCTGCAACAACTAATCGATAAAATCGATTATTATCGATAATGAAAATCATCGACAACGATTCTCATTATCGATTAATCGGGTCTGCCCACAGTGCACGTCCAACGGAGTTTACATACTTGTCCAACTTCAGCCGGTCACGTCAAATTAAAGCACTGAATTACTTATTTTGTGAATAAATAAAAGTATTTAGTTATAAATAAATGACAATAAAATTTTTTTGATTTAAACAATTTTTTGACAGATTCCTAAAATTCCTCAAATGTGTTTTCTCTTTATTATGGCAGGTGGTCTAATAAATTGTAAAGCATCGCATTCAGTTGGCACGTTTGTTTTAAGGACATTGGGCAGAATGTGGAATAGTGTGTTTTGTCAATAAAATAAAAAAAGAAAATTGTTTGTTTTTAATCCGATTAATCGGAAAAAATTATCGACCAACTAATCGATTATCAAAATAATCATTAGTTGCAGCCCTACATTGGGGTATAATTTGGAGAAACATTAAAAATTGCAATGCTGGGCATTACGGGAAACATTTAAGCACTATTTACTGATACAGAAAGGATGATTTTAAATATTCATATTAATGCATATTTTAAATATAATTTAGTCATTTTTAATATTACTTATATATAGTTCTATAACACACATATATAAATGTTGCTACATCAATGTGTGTGTGTGTGTGTGTGTGTGTGTAAATATATATTTGCTAAATCAATGAGATAATAGTGATACAATCTTTGCACCATTGGATAGGCTCAGACTATGTTGTGTGAGAAAAATGATCTTGAATTTATGTACATTTAAAATTTCATACCATGTAAGCCTTTTCCCATTACTAGACTCGTAGAAATAAAATAAAATAAATATAAAATGTTAAATACTTGCTTTGTAAATAGATCAATTTGTTGAATTGTGTTTAGCAAGCTGTGGCAATTACAAAGATCCCCCCCCCCCACTGTATCTGTTGTGATAAATTTCAGTGTCAGCTACTGTTATGTGTAGTTTTGACCCATATTTAGTTAAAGTTAGGTATTATTTAATTGCTTTATACAAACGTTGCAATTGACCCTTTGCAAAGAGCTTGATTGACAGGCAATCTGACCAATCATAACACCGCATCCGCCATTTTGTCCGACAAACAAATAAGACAGGAGAGTAGATTAACTTCGGTGGATTAAACTTGAAAAATTGTCTGTACTGATGCTCCATAGTTGAAACAAAACATGTTCTGATATTCATTCATGTTTATTTCATGCTTTAAATAAATATGAAAAGACGATCGGTTCACGTGCCAAATGAACTGAGGTGCTACAGTGATCTGTCACGACACATTAAAGAGCCACAAAATGCTATTTATTGTTTGAATTTCTTTACCAAATTTGAAAGCTGAGACCTTGTTTCATACCAGAAGTAATCTGCTCTGTCTCGTCTGTCAGCGTGTTGTCAGTTTCCTCTTTGCTCTGCAATGTATTTTTCACTGCGCGTATGTGTAATGTGAGAGCAGCATGGCTTGTCGGACATAGCAACAGTAACTAAGGAGGGCGGGTTTTTGCGAAGGGTCAATTCTGCTATACTGGGTCTCTGAGGGTTTTAAATTTGTAAGAGTTGCCCAGTTATCATCTCAGAAGTAAAAACTTATATCTTGTGTTTTTGACAGTCCAATAAAATAATCCGTTAGGAGGAGATAATCATAGTTGACATTGCTTTCAGTTTATTCATCATACTGGAAATGGAAGGTAAAGTTAGAGTGCATTGTGATACAGTTTTCCACACAGTGTGCTGTTTTATACTATACTGTTTGGTAAATGTAGTTGCTAATTTGGATATTCCACAATCTGATAATTTACATTCTGCATAAAATAAGCACACTGTGAAAATAGTATGGAAGTATGGATTCTTATATAAAGAGATGTTGACCCTGAGCAGTTCCTGGTTCTTCTCCTCCAGCTGTCCCTCTAAATGTCTCATACGCTCCTCGATACTGCCGTGTCTCTCCTCCGCCTGAACAACAAACACACATTGTATTTTGTCAGACGTGAAAATGTAAAGCCACAAATTAGCTCAGCGTTTACCAGCAGAGAAAAGACCCCTGAACCATGACTATGATGTTGGCTGGAAAATAATCTAGATTTATGAGATTTTGAGTTTGGTTTATAAAGTGCCATCACACCAAACACCACAGACATGGTTGAGCAGACAGGTAAAGAGAAGGAGCGTGTATTTCCTTAAGCTTCTGTTCTCTCCTGGGTGAACAGAAAGAACCAAGTACGTCAGCAACTCATTAAAGCGAAGAAAATCCCAGCTGAGCATCACATGCAGCTGAAATACACCAGCAGTGAACAGACCCACAGCCAGACAGAGTGAAGTGAATGAGAGAGAGAGAGACCAGCTTTCAGCCCCACCTTCCTCACACTGCAGTTTATGTCCTGGAGTTTAGCTTCCATATCAGACTACCAAACCACACAATACAGAGAAATATCACACAACGTTAATAATGAACGGCGTATCTGTCCATGTTTCCACAGTAGAGTTTGTTAACAGCTCATTTTAAAGAATGAACAAGAGCAATTTCTGTCTTTTACTTTTTCTTAAACCCTTTCAGGGGCAGTGGTCACTGTGAGAAATCACCTGCCAACTTCTCACCTCTCATTTGGGTTTAAAGTAGGAATTGTTCCATTTTATGAAAATTTTGGGTGTTTTTTTTAAGCAAGGGGAAAAATAGCACACAGGAATTATAATTCTATACATTATACTATATTAAATATATAACAACAAATTTTTATAAAGTTTATTATAACAAATAACCATTTATAAATGTTTTTTTCAACAAGAAAATTATATAACAAATATAAACTTTTTAAAGAAATAATTAAATATAATGATATGTTTAATAAAGTTAATTATTACCAACATAATTTTATAAAGAAAGAATAAAAAAAATGTTATTTTTTTTCTGCCAAGATAGTTATATAATATAACAATTTTATAAAAAATAGGATTTTAAAAATAATGCTATTTTAACAAGATATTTATATATCTAATATTACAATTTTATAATGGAAGAATAATAAAAATTGTAATGCAAATTCTTTTCAAGTTAATTATATTACTAATATAATAAATTTATAATGAAAGAGATTATTATTTTTTATATCAAGGTTACATACAGTAAGTACTATGGGAAGGAATCACAGGAAATAACAATTTTCACAAAATGATGTAATTATTCTGTGCTTGGTGAAAATTTGTCATGTACAATTTGTTAACACATACCAGACAAAAAATACAGTATACTGATGTATTTGATCATATGACCTTTCAAATCATTCTGATCAGTAAACTACATAAGTTTGAAAGAGATTTCAATCTACTGCGACTAAAGATTTTGAAGTTTTTATGCTGATCAATGCACATAATAAATGTACACTAAGTGCAGTGTAATGCTTTGCCCCAACTAAACCAAGAATGTTTAGAGCACCTTAATGTGCAGTGGTCAATAGGAAAACCACCTCAAAAATGGCCCTTGACCCCTAGCCTGAATAGTTGAGCCTGATGTCTCACTCTCTGAAGTACTACAGTTTGGATGATTCATTTGTGTGAATCGTTTGTTCTGATGGTTCACTTCAGTAAATCAGTTCATTTGAGTTATCACTCATGTGTTCCCAGATATTCCTTCACTTTACTTCTTGTTAATTTCAAAGCAAATGAACATTTAGTTAAGGATTTCAACAACACTGGTTTGCATTAAACACAGCTAATGTATGTGTGTGTGTGGCATCCAGTACAGTACCTTAGTGAGAGCTGCTATCCTCTGTGCTAGCTCAGCCTCGACTTCAGGCAGAGTCTCAGCTTTCCTCATGGTCTGCTGGAGCTTCTGTTCCGCCAACTCCAGCCGCTCCTGTAACTGCCTGTTCTTCTCCTCCATCTGTGGGAGGAAAACACACACACACATACACACACACACAGTGTCTGATCAGAGAGTTTATCCTCATATGGCAGACACCATAGGACAGTCCAGCTTCCACAGCAACAAGTGGATCATCATGGCTGTTTTCAGTGTGCCCAAACAAACAAAATTACATAACTGCCTATTTTTGCCTGTTCTTGGAACAATTAAACTCTCATTAGAGGGTGATAAATGCACGCTGAAGCTTGGCAGTACCTGTGTCAATTCATTTACCTTATACACTAAACTTTCTACAAATAGGTTTCTTTAACTGAAAAAAGCAAAAATAAAATAAAATCTACATAATTTGTTACTAAATAAGTACAAAAATAATTAAAACTGAAAAATAAATAGATAAATAAATAATTATTTCGTAGAATATTCTCGCTGCTCTTTTACATATCAGTGTTGTTTTGGTACTGTTTATATAAAAAGTGAAACTTTGGAAAAGGAATATTTATGGCACTCAGGTATGTTCTATGCGGTTGTTTTGATAGAGGGAAACAATGCATTTCTAGTTTCATAATATTTGTTCCTCAGCTTTTACTCTCTGAAAAGTAAAGTAAAAAAAGTATCAGCTAAGTATTCTTCATTTGTAAGTCACTTTGGATAAAAGCATCTGCTAAATGAATAAATGTTAATGTAAATGTAGTTTACAGCCATGCAAACTTCAGGAATTTTTTTCCCCCATTTTTGAGCTGTCACTATTGGCATATAATGCAAGAAAGATCACTAACGTCAACATATTTTACTAATAGACTAATTTACTAATCTCTGTCTAAAAATAAAATAATGTTGCTGGTACTTTTCCAAAGTCATTTTTACCCCGCTGTAATTTGGCTCCAAACCTCAGGTGAAAATTGTCATTTTGACCCCTCTCTACAAAACATTGGATTACTCTGTATATATTCATCCATAACATTTGATAAAGAAAATTAATAAATATATAATTTTTTAATATATTTATAAATAAAAATTTATAAATATATAATAATTTAATTTTCCAGGTGAAGTATTAATTTAAATGGTTAAAATTTCTTAATTTTGTCATGCACTTTTATTATGTCTCTGTAATATGTATAGAACATGTTTTTCCCCCCCAAATCCCTAAGCACTTTCTCAGAAATCCTGGTGGATCATTTGGCAGGATATGAAATGGTGTCATGCTGACCGTGATATCAGCAGAAAAGAATCTTCAATTACGAACGGAATGACTGTTGTCAGTTGTCAAGTTCAAAACATCTGTGCATAACGCAGTCATATAATTGCAGTACATCAAAGTAATTTGAAATAATGCTAAACAGAAAATAAAATTGGAAGACAAGTAGTCAGAACCTGACCTGTCTGAGGAACGCCTCCTTATTGGCCAGTTCGTTTTCCAGCTTGTCTGTGATGTCATGTAGTGATGTGGACTCTCTCTGGGCACTGAGATAGCGCTTCTCAAGAGTCACTATCCGTTCCTCCATGTCTTCTTTCTGACACATAGCCTGTACACACACACACAGACTGTTGGTTAGTGGCTCTCAGACACACACCTAAGATAGAACCCGCAGGTGTAATAGTCAACTGTCAATCAAAAATCCTGCCCTATAATTACACACAGGCTTGAGGACAAATATGAACACAAGCAAACACACATTTGGACACAGAGGCACACACACTCACTGCTCCGGGCTGCCACAACCTCTCTACATCAATAGCTGTATCTCAAATCCAACAGACATTTCCCAGAATCTGTCCAGCTGTCGCTAATTATCAATGTGACAAGGCTATGTCCGAAACCGAAGGCAGCTGTTTCGCTACCTGGTCAGTCAGTGTTGCAACAGACTGAATTTTGTAAGAAGGCACCTTTTAATAAAACTGCATTTGAGATGAAAGGATGTTAACCATTGTCTGATGAGGTTTCAGACACAGCCTAATTTACAGTATGTGTGTTTTGAGACAGAGGCTTGACATACACCCATACTGCACCTCTTTAATATCTCTCTGGTACTTGTTGTTCATATCTTCGCTCTTGATGAGGTCTTTTCTAGCCGTCTCCAGCTCCTGCTCCACCTCGGACACACGGGAGGACAGCGAGGACATGCGCTCCTTCATCTGCGCCAGCTCGTAGTTCTGCTTCTCCAGCAGCTCCTGCAGCTCCACCACCTGACTGGCCTCGTCCCCCGACTCCATCGACCCGTTAGACAACCGCTGCAGCCCAAACACATGTAATACACTTCCTTTTAGAGTGAAAAAATGCTGTTTAAACAGAATCAGCTGCACGTTAATTCAGTAAAACTGCATATTATTATAAGGGTTATTATTGTTAAATAAAACTAAGCCCATAAAATTATTTTGAATTACATTAAATAAACATTAAAAGTGATGTATCATGAAAATCTGACTTTTTCCATGTTTAAGTGTTATAATCGGGTCCCCGGTGCATCTACCAACCCAGAAAACATTAAAAAGAACAAAACAGTAAATTTTTTGCTAAGCCTTTCTCTGCAAGCTTGTTAAAAAATGAGCTGCTCAGAAAGGGGATCTTATTATAATATTACCACCCCTTAATCTGCAAGTTTCCACCCACGGCGCCCCCATTGTGTGTTCGCAAGCGACAACCACGTACCAGTTCTAAAGTTCGAGCAAAGCATGCTAACTGTTCTGCACTGCTGAGCACAGAACACAGAAATAACCAACTGTTTTGGCAACTCGTGTGTGTTTTTAACGTAAACTTATGTGTATTTGACAGTTTAAGCGCAATAAGACAGGAAGGAGAATTTAGTTTAGTACTCACATGCCGTGTGACAGCTGCTTTCTGTGTGTGTGCTTCGGATGTGTGCGCTCAGAAAACCGTATATCAGAAGTTTAAACTAATATGGGTTAAAACGCATGATTTCAGCACAATAGACATCGTAATCAAAACCAAACAGATGTTTTTTAGCAGAGTATCTGAGGAACGAGCTGTAAAGGCACAGCCCTATTCTGGAAAAGGGGGGAGGGGAGCAGCAGCTCATTTGCATTTAAAGAGGCATGCATGAAAACAGCGTGTTTCTGCTTCCACTCAAAACAGGAATTTTCAAAATGCTATAATAAATTATCTGTTGGCTATTTTGAGCTGAAACGTCACAGATACATTCAAAAAATTAACTTAAATGATTTTAGCAAATGGCTGCAATATAACAAAGAGTGAAAAATTTAAGGGGGTCTGAATACTTTCCGTACCCACTGTATATTACATATTATAAAAAGGGGCATAATAGGTCTCCTTTAACTGAAATAAAAAACTCAAAACTCATTTTATTTTAGCTATTTTCCAAGGCTCTACTTCTCATTTTTGTTTAGTTTTAGATGAAGCACTAAAATAACAAAAACTAAAAAGAATTATTTGTACTGTACAAGTATAAAAACAAGTGAATATGTCCAGTAATCATATAATTAATTGCCAATTAAATGGAAAAAACATTAATTGATACAGTAATTTATACTAAACAAATGTAAATACGGCACAAAAACCTATAGTTAATATATTATGCAAGTTCCAGGGTTTAAAGGGTTAGTTCACCAAAAAATGAAAATTCTGTCATTAACCTCCTGGGGTCGACAGTTCCGCCGGCGGGAATTTTTGCAGATTTGAATGTTGACAGCGAAAATAACTAAAATGCTCCTTCATACGTGATCGTACATATAAGAGTAATCCAGCATTTAAATCTGTAAAGGGTCTACTTTTATTTGTGTACACTCACAATATCAACAAAACATTGTGCTTTTGCAAAATAAAAGAAAATAAACAGGGTGTGCTTTTAGCCGTCTCATTCTCCGCGCATATCTGTTTGAAACGCGTCACTAAAATTAACTGAAACTCAGCGAATATTTGACACACACACATGACAGATATATCTATAGAAAGCTTAACATGTCTACTTTTAAACGAAGTAAGTCATGACGAAAACAAATATTATGTGACAAAGTAATCAGTATGAAACCAATGTGATGTCAAGTCTTGGCCGTCGCCTTCATTATCGCTAATGTGACCACGCCCACGCGCCGATCGCGCTTTTGTTATTACAATCCTCCACGTGAGACGCGCGCATGTAAACGCCCACATCACAGCAAACAAAGCAACCAGACTTTCCCTCAAGTTCATCTCGGCTACTTCGCTTCTGGAAGAAGACACGCTGAGAGGAATAAGCTTTGGATTTTCCTCAGAAGAACGCGCCGGCGTGATATTCAGTGGAGGATATAGTAAGTCTTTTTTTATTTGCCTACTTGCATTAGTTGCTATTGTGTTACTGTGACATAACTTGTACATATTTTACTAGTTACTTTTTCCAAACCATGATTCCTGACTAAATGTACAATCAAGTGGAACATTATGAAGATTCATTCACTGCATATAGGTCTCACAAAGCCAGGAAGTTTTTTTAATGTTCT